GAGGGCTCTGCTCTCCAGTGCAAAAGACAACTCAAAGCAGGTATGGTCGCTTCTCTTTAGGCCGCCATGCCTGACTCTGCCTCAAAGCTTCCTTGGTGCGGCACTACCCCAACTGGGGCCTTCCAGATGCAGCGCCTAACAAGGTGATGAAGATGGTGTCCACCATAGCCAGGTAGGTACCTCGCCACTCTCCTCCTTCGCCCCCTTCTTTCTCCTCCTCAAGCTGGGCTGCTTGCCATAGCCAGGCTGAGCGCCCAGCTCCTCTTCGTCCTCCCAGGCAGCGCTCTGACTCCAGGCTGCCCGCTCGAGCAGTATGTCGCCCAACCTTGCACACCGCAAATGAGGAGGAGCTACTCGTTCCTCTTGGGCGGTGACTTCCAGGCCGCACGGCCTCCGAGCAACCGGTACCACCTCCCTTTCGGAGGGAAACATCATTACAGGCTCTGATACCGTCCGTACAGGACCTAGACTCAGGCTACTTGGACGGGTACCGGCCTACCTCTAGCCTACCGCTACCGGGCCTCTAAAAATGCCAACTTTTTTGTCTTCTTCTGCTCGGCCTCGACCCGACACTTCTACCGCTACTTGAGTGGTACCGGCCTACCTGCTACTTGAGTGATTTTCCCGCTGCTCGAAGTGTTGCGGGCCTACCCCCACTACTGGAGTGTTTTCCCCGCTGCAACCCGCAAAGTCACTGCCACAGGTAAGTTCCGGCCATTCGTGGCCTCCAAACGAACAAGTACCCTTGTGGGTCACACACACACTCACGCCGACAGGCACGCAGACCAGCAGGCACGCACACACACATACTTAGAAAACTCAGCAGAATGCTGGAATCTCAGCAGGGCATACATTCCAGCGACGAAACTCAGAAGTCCGCGTAGTTCTAAGGCGGTGTTTTGGCCGGTCATTACAATCCGAAAAAGTTCTAAAAACGTATATGTTATGAATCATACTGGTCCACCAACCGGGCCCGTGCGAATCACCTTGGTTGTCCGGGGGCCCGACCGAGCAAGGTCCAGCGAAAGCCCCTCCCAAAAAAGAAAAAAGAAAAAAAGAAATCCGAAAAATCCTGAGACTACCGACGGGGCAGCCTGGGGTCACCTTGGTTCATTGTCTTGTTGTCTCGCAACCTAAGATTTCTGTTCGTCACTTTCCAGAACTCTACCTATCACCTAGTCCGGTACCAAGAGTACATTTATCCTACGACTTTCTTTGGGTTCTTCGGGTCTTGCGAGGACGATTGGCACGTACCGTCTTCACTGGAATAGAACGCATGGTCATTATAGCTGCATTTGGCACAACTTTCAGTCCAGATGCAGCGATAATTACCGGGCATTTTATTCGGATGAAGACGGTAGTAGGCGGTTTTGACGCGACTGAACAATGGGACAAGTGCTTGGGTTCCATCCGTGTACCTTCCGATGACCGGGAAGACTAGACGGATTACATATAAGCTACTACTGAATTCAGCACCCGAAGCATCTCCGTCGAGGTCCAACTCCCCTGAGGATGGCCGAAGGGGGCTGGTGTTGGGCACTGTTGGCCGAAACATGTCGGGAGCTGCCAGCATGAAGGTCATCAACTTGCCATTGTCGCCATGACACTACTCCCGGAGTCATAGCTCTTGCCGCTAACTCTCGACAATACCGAGGGTGTACTTGCAGTTTTCTTTCAGAGCTGTTGTTGACGTCGTGTTCCGTTCTTGATCTTGGCGTTTCGCGTTTCTATGGTGCTCATGACTGATTATTTTTTTGAACTAGGAGATGCTTAACGAATGCCGCTGTACGAGCGTCGAGCGCCTCTGTCTTGTGTGGACGTTTTGACTGAGTGGAGTAATGTCTCTTCTCCCCCACTTCTCCGTTGAAGTAATGTCCATGATTGCTATTGAGGCTGGTCAGTCCGTTTCGCTCTGCGAGTCAGTTCGTCTCGTTCTCTTTCGCAACACCTTGGTTTTCCTAGGCGGCCCGGCCGGGCAAGGGCCAGGGAAGGTCCCTGCAGGGGGGGAAAAAACAAACCGAAAGTAACGATATTATGCAGAAAGATAAACCAAACAACTTTTGCCTCAGGGTCACATCGAGATTCTTTGCCGGATAAAAACTGAAAAGTAAAGTTCAATATGTATGTACTATGTATATTACCGGGCAGCTCTGTTTGACGATAGATATTATATTATATATAATATATAATATATATTATGTGACAATATATATATAGTCTGCTTTGATTTTCGTCACAGGTACCTTGAGGGCAGTGGTTGGTGCCCACCTCAGGGTATCAGTTGTCGGGCAGTAGTTGATGCTTAACCACAGCCGGCCGGGGTTATCACTTACAGTGCAATCAGTTAGGGGATTCTGCAGACTGTTGAGGGTTCACCCTCCTGATGAGTCGGTGAAACTCCGACGAAACAGTTTGTCACAGCCCCTCGTTTGATTGTCCTCTTCTCCCTCTCTGTCTACGGTTTACCGGGCAGCTCTGTTTGATGATATATATTGGTTTAACATCGTTTGACGATATATATATAATATATATACCAGTTTATCTGTTTGACGATGTATATATTGTCACATCATATTGATGTTTTTTTTTTTTTTTGGCCCGACCGGGCACGTGCTTCGGGACCAAAATCCGAAAAAGATCTATGTTACACAGTTACACAAACACTTTGGTGAATTGACACTCTGCTTTGGGAAGGACTTTTTGATGCACTCTCAATTTTTTATTTTTTATTCTCCCCCCCTCAAATTTGCATTTCAATTATCTCACACTTTCTTGCTAGGGAGATTCTCAGGCCCGGCCAGTCCTTCCCAGGCGGGCACCCGGGCGTGCCCTTTCTGCGCTCTACCAGAGGACCCCAAATCCCGGCTCTTTTTTTCTTTGTGAGTTGGCTGTCAAGAGAGGAGGGGGGGGGGGGGCATAAATAGGTTTTAAAGGGGCTAAAGGGGTTTAAACTTTAAAGGGGGGTGCCTTAGTGTGATTCTGTTATTTTCATTTTTATCTCTGATTCTGTGAGGAATTCTAATGTGACCCTCGGGCAAAAGTCGTGTGTATTGCAATTCATATTTTTTCTGCACGTGCACTTGGGCTGCCCGGAACGAGGTCGTGCCCGGCCAGGCACCAGGGCGTGTAACTGGGCATAGGTTGGGTGCCCAGGCACCTGGAAAAATAGCCTACCTTCTTCCCCCGAATACAACGTACGGTCATTATGGCTGTATCTAGACTGAAAGATGCCTCATATACAGCTATAATGACCGTACGTTTTATTCGGGGGAAGAAGGTAGCTTTCTTGTTCTTTTTTTTCTTGGGTGCAATTGCAGTCTTCAGACTCTGCACTGGTTTTACCTCTGTATGGTCTGGGTGTGATTGTTTTTTAACTTTTTTTCATCTGAAAGCCATTTATTCCAAATGCTGGGAAACAGGCCAATCATCCGTGACATCAATATTTTCTGTGGGCCCGTAGAATGCACCAGGCATCGACAGCGGAGCGGAGATCAGACCTGGGTCCCAAGCTAACTTAAAAAAAAAAAAAAAAAAAAAAGGGACGACCGAACAGTCTAAATTTCTCTAAAATCAAGAACACAGGCTCCCTTGCCTAACAAGCTTCTACACAAAACAGTTTTATTGGTAACCCCATTACGTACACGCCCCCATTATGTACACACAGTTATCTACACCCGTAAAGAAGACAGCAAATGGCAGTAAAAAGACAGAGGAGAGAAATGTAAACCACCACTACGTTTCCCAGCCATTTGTTTTGAAAGTTGCGGCTTGCGTTTCGGGGCTCAGCCTCCGGAGCAAATGGTCAGCGGCGGCAGCCAAAAGGAGGCCCATGTCGGTCCATTTTTTTTGGCGAGCAGGACGTTTCCAGCCCCGGAGAAAATCGTCTCGGAAGTTTGGGTGGTTTAAATGAAGTCAAAAGTCCATTCGCTATCCTTCATCGGGAGGCAGTTACCACTTGGCAGAGTCCTGTGTTTTTAATAAACAGTCGCTACCCCCTGTTATGTGCCACTTTGTCTGTTTTTGCAAAGAAAAGCACTCCAAAAGCAATTGGCTTGCTTGCCTGATACAAAACTACAGATTTGCTAGGTAGCACTGTAGCACGGCATTTCCGGCTGGATTAACTGTCCGGATCTTCCGGCCCGTACATCCGGGGGTTGCATCTTTAAGGATTTTGTCCCCTCTTAGCTCCCAGTCCTCCTACTTCCCCCTACTTCCTACACTGATGTCAACCCCCCCTGCCTACCCGACTATTATGGTACACACACATCCCACCAGAACCTACTCATCCTCCTATCCTTCCTCCGTAACTATAGTACACCTCGGTATCCTTCCTCCGTAACTATAGTACACCTCCTTCCTCCGTAACTATGGTACACCTTGGTATCCTTCCTCCGTAACTATAGTACACCTCGGTATCCTTCCGTCGTAACTATAGTACACCTCGGTTGTTATCCATGGAACTGTGGTCCCCTGCTGATCTCCTAGACGCTTTCGGATTCTGGTTCAGGACGGGGTCCACGGCGCAGCAAGATGGGGCCAAATCCCGTCCGGACCGTCTGAGGATCTCGTGTCACCAGCTGTGGGTAAAGGACCCATCTTTCCCAAAAGCCCTCCTCCCCCTGCCCCCCCAGTGCGTCTGCTACACTTAAGGTCTTCCAGGAGGGCCACTCTAATGTTCTCCAAGGCCCTTTCCTGATATGCCTACAGCGGCGGGGATGCTCTCGGCCTACATCGTTCATTTTGCAGGCCCCACAGGGCCCACAATACTGCTGGCCGTAGGATTTCTGTTGCTATTAGCCCCTCTATTTTCGGTCTGCCGACTTTCATTAGAGTCCCTAGGAGGATTGCAGCATTATCTTCCTCTGTGAGGTCCAGCGGCGACTTGTCTGCGACTTCTTGCACCCACCATTCCCAGAATGTCCGAACTATCGGACATCGTACGAAAATGTGAGGAATAGTCTCGACTTGTCCGCAACCTCAACCTGCTGCACATTGCTGGTCCTTGTGTCGGCTCTTTGTTGCTATCCATTGCGCTGTGGGGATGGCCAGATGGTATATTTGCCATAGCAGGCCCGCCTGATTCTTGTCAGGCAGGGCAGCCAGAATAGCACAGGGTTCGTTCCTTCTCCCTTGTGTCCATCCGTTGAAGTCCACACCGGGGATCCAGCCCCTCTTCGCCCATCGGTCCCTCAATTCCCCGCAGATGTCTTCTATGGATTCCAGCAGCGCGTTGTAAATATTCTTTGTGATCAAATCGTGGAGCTGCACAGTTTTCCTCTGCATCCCCTGAGCTGGCCATTCCCACTTTGCCGGATCCCATATTAGATCCTGCTTTCTACATGCCACCCGAAATGGCAGGTATTGTCCTTCTCCCTTGTGTCTTCTTTCACATACTGCCACTGTTTCCATGGCGCTTATTGCTAGCTTCTTCAGGGAGCGCTCCCATTGTGTACCCTCCTCTCGCAGGGGTTCACCTAATCCTTCATATCCGATGTGACCTGCCACTCCATAGCCTCTAGCCCCCCTCCTGCTGAAATGTGTTCCACCCTATACAGACCCTCGGGTCTCGTGCTTCCTCTCATCCTTACCCATTCCCCGGGTGTTATTTCATCTTTTCTCCGCATCGCGATCCACCGAGGGGGGATGGCCTCCCGCAGCTCCACCACTCTTTGCCTCCTCTTCATTCTCCCATGCAGCATCGCCTCCATTTTGTCATCGGGATGCCGGTCCTTCCGCTCGTCGTCCCATAAGTGACCCACCTTGTCGATTCCCTGTTCCGCCCACTTCCATGCGTAGGCGCTCAGCATCTCGATCCACCCAGGGGGGATGGCCTCCTGCAGCTCCACCACCCTTTGCCTCCTCCTCATTCTCCCATGCAGTATCGCCTCCATTTCGTCATCGGGATGCCAGTCCTTCCGCTCTTCGTCCCATAAGTGCCCCACCTTGTTGATTTCCTGTTCCGCCCACTTCCATCCGTAGGCGCCCCGCGGGTTCTGCCATGGGAACGACTCCACAGTCACATCACAGATAAATCGGTTGCTAAACAGCGACTGGTTGAAGACTGCATCCGCCGTTTTCGGCAGGCGGCACCTCATCTGGGTCTTTTTCCACAACGACGCCACTTTCGTGGTCCACACTGTGTCCCTGTGAATATGTTCTATTGCCGCGGCGCTGATCATGCACAGATCCACCACCTCCGTAGGCACCTGGAGTGTGTATGCCAAATGGGGTCCGAGTTATTTCTTGCCAAACTCTTCCCACCGTACCAAGCAGATAGCATATCAGGTGCTGTAGCTGCAAGGCAATCATTTGCAGCCGCGGGTCCAAGCTCCCCAGTCCTCCCCAACCGCGTTGGCTGGGTCAATTTGTTCCACTCGACTCTGCAGATGGAGTCTTCGGCATCAGCATTGTTAGACCACAGGTGCGCATGAATTGCCCTCTTGATATATCGGAAGGTCCGTTTGCCCGGCATATGCACAGCACCTGCGTACCACAACGTTGCCAGTACCGAGTTCTTGATCACCAAAGCCTTACCGAAGACTCCCATGCTCCCTCTCGTGCTCTATGCCTTGAGCCGTGCCACCGCTGCCGTGGCTCAAATTGCCATCTGCTCGAGCCCCCAGGGAAAAAAAACCATTATTTCTCTTTTGCTGGGACCTTCCCTGGTCCTTACACGGGCTGGCCACCCAGGACCCACATGGCCCAGCTGGTAGCCTAGATCATTTCTCTCTCCACCACTGTCGAGATGTCCCATCCGTCCGGCGGAACAACCTCCGGTGGGAGGATGGCCTTGGATTTGAGCCAGTTCACCTGCGGATGTTGTGGACTGCAATTCCATCCCCGGCCCTGCGTTCAGGCTGGTCAGCCGGTCGTCCGCCCTTAGCATGTCATGCATTGACTAATGTAAATGACGTATAAGGCTGGGGATAGTGGGCACCCCTGCCTAACTGATCTGGTGATCCTCAATTTGTCTGATCGGACTCTGTTCACCTGCATCGCAGTTGTGGCGCCCCTCAGCAGGTTCCTGACCCGGCTGCAAAAGATCCCCCCTATTCCCCGGCGCGCCGTCCCCTGTTGTAGGAATACGCCAGGTCTATGGACACAAAGGCCATGGCCTGCCCTTTGCATTTGTCCTCTTCCAGGATCTGCTGCACCAATAGCACGTTGGAGAGGATCTGGCGCCCTGCTACGAAACCTGTCTGGGTGCAATCGATGATGTGTGACAGCTCTTGCTTCGGCCGAGTGGCCAGCACCTTAGCGAGGATCTTATACAGCGCATTCAGGATGGATATCGGACACCAGTTGTGCACGTCCTCTTTCGCCCCCTTCTTGCAGAGCAGGACTATTTGTGCATCCGCGAAGCCATGCCTCAGCACCTCGTTGTATGCTGTTGTCAGCAGGGTCACGAAAAAGCAGCAAAAATCCTTATACATCTCCACTGGCATCCCGTCCAGCCCGGGCGCTTTGAGGCGGGGGAGCTCTGCGATTGTTGTCTCCACCTCTTCCGCCCTGAGGTCGTCTTCCAGTCCGCACGTCGCTTTCTAAGTCCAGACGATTCCAAACGTGCTTCCAAATTCCGTGCTCCGGCCCACCGGCCATCTCCGCCGGTGTCCAATCCTCTTCTTCCGTTAATAGTTGTCGGTAGAAGTCTGCCACATACTTCAAGATGCCTCGAGTGGTGCACTGCTTTTCCTGATGCTCGTCGAACAGGTGGCTCATTGCTGTCATCGAAGGTGCCACCTTACGCTTGCCTATTTTTATGGCGAAGAATCGACGCGACATGCGCTCCCCCACCAGGATCCACGACTCCAAAGTACACCTCCCCCTCCCCAATTTGACTGCTTCCTCCCTCTGCCATTTCCTCCAGTTTCAGGCCGAACCTTCTGGTTCTATCTGTTGTGATGAGAATGATGTGTCTGACTCTTTGTCTTTCTTGCACACATCATTCATACGGCTCGTCCCTAAGTTCTTACAGGTGACTGTAGTGGATATGGTGAAGGCATAGTCTTAACCCATCAGTAATGGCCTCTCCACCCACCATTCATCATCTGTTTGCTCCCCTTCAGGGGGGCCTTTATTCAACTTCCGTAGCCCGCTAGCATACTACTTTCTCTCCTCTTCCGTCCTCCTTTGGTGAGCCAGGTAACTGCACCGCAACTGTTTTGCCAGGTTCCTTCGCAGTTCTTGAGTGGCCGCCACCACGTGGTCTAATAACAGATTGTCCTGTGGGTATTCATTCGCGGGGTTCGCCCAGTCTTCCCAAAACCGGGCTACCATAGGTGGGAATTTTGCGCTTTTGAACACCCACGCCGGTATCGCTTTCGCTTTCAGTGGGTGGCCCATCTCTAGCCTACCCACCGGGAAGCTTGCCGATACTGCTGACTGGTCCAATGTGGTCATTGGCTTGATCTGCACTCGCTCTAGTACTTCATTAAGGCCTGCCACCGAAGCCCGTATCATGTCAATTGCACTCCTGGTCACTGTGTTCCCCCAGAAGGTGTAGGCCTTTTCTTATGGATACAGTGTGTTCGATATGAGTCTGTGCAGCCCAGCCCAGCCCAGTCATGCCATTGGTGAAGCGCGAGTCGGCCTCCATCTGCCTTTGGGTGCAGTCTCAAGACTTGGGTCGGCAGACAGAGTTAAAATCAAAAAATAAAAATAAAAACAAAAATAAAATTAAAAATAAAAAAATAAATATTAGATAAATAATACTAAATAAATAAAATATGAAATAAATAAATAAATAAATACATAAATAATCTAGGCTACCAGCCGGGCCGCCCGGGTCCCGGGTGGCCAGCCCATGCAAGGACCAGGGAAGGTCCCAGCAAAAAAAAAAAAAAAAAATCCAAAAAATCCGAAAAAAAAAACTATGCTATGCAGAAAAATAAACTGAAAAACTTTTGCCTCAAGGTCACATCGAAATTCTCCACCAAATTTATAATATAAAAATATATGATGAGTCAGTGAAACTCCGACGAAACAGTTTGTCACAGCCCCTCGTTTGTTGTCCTCTTCTCTCTCTCTGCCTACGGTTTACCGGGCAGTTCTGTTTGTGACGATATATAAATCGTCACAAACGGACAGTCTGTAGAGTTTTCCATCTGGTGTGGGTGAGTGATAGTCTACTTTGATTTTGGTTAAGGTGG